CAAACCTGTCGTAGGGGGGCATCACTTATGCCAAGGTGTGCTGGAGCAGAGTGGGGGTACTCAGCGGTATACAAAGAATGTGTTGATGCAAAGGTCAGTCTTTCGAGAGCCGTTCTCTTGGAAACCGCGTTTTGCCGGTCTTCCTTCCCCCTTCCCCTCTCTCCGCAAATACATCGCAGTTGTGATACATTCATCGATTCTTTGTCTCTTTTGTTCATCTACATTCTAAGGTAATACTTGATTATATAATTCTATCTCTATCTCTCTCTCTCTTTCTTTGTGTTACCTATTTTCCCAATTTCTTCCGCTGGCTTAATCACTTGTTACCTTCATTTACGAAGAAAAGTGTGACGTAGTGCGTCGCGAAACGTCTCTTTCTATACTTTTAATCCTTTACCTTCATTTACGAAGAAAAGTGTGACTTAGTGCGTCGCGAAACGTCTCTTTCTATACTTTTAATCCTTTACCTTCATTTACGAAAAAAAGTGTGACGTAGTGCGTCGCGAAACGTCTCTTTCTATACTCTTAATCCTTCACCTTCATTTACGAAGAAAAGTGTGACGTAGTGCGTCGCGAAACGTCTCTTTCTATACTCTTAATCCTTCACCTTCATTTACGAAGAAAAGTGTGACGTAGTGCGTCGCGAAACGTCTCTTTCTATACTCTTAATCCTTCACCTTCATTTACGAAGAAAAGTGTGACGTAGTGCGTCGCGAAACGTCTCTTTCTATACTCTTAATCCTTCACCTTCATTTATTAAATTTGCTATACTCAGCGGATACCGGAAGTAGTGCATAGATCTGACTTATATTTATGTGAGATTTTGGTGATGCATTTGGAAAGTGTTCCCATGTTGCGCGGTAGTGTCTGATTATATTTCCAGCTATACTTATTTCCGAGTGATCAACCGCAGATTCTGCTGTGTACTAAATAATTTTTCGTCGTCCACGCGAGTCTTCTGGATTTTGCCAATTCCGCGTTTATAGCGCACCGATGAGAGAAGAACACTGTGGACTCTGTATTAAAATACATATTTATACATATTATATTAACATTACAAAAATGGAGGTGCTACACGGATGTCAGCTCCAGCATCGCACTTTTTTAAAATCTCTTGAAAATGATTCAACAATAGGCTTTTTCAATAGTTCTCGAGAAGTTCTACAGTTCCTGATAGGTTTCAACAATCGTTCTGCTACGCAACATCGGTAAAATATGTATTAAATATGCTTGTGGCATCATACGCTTTAGTGTAGGCAGACATGAGTTGCTTGCTTTTGTCATATTAAACTTACCGAGCTTACACTGTGCGATCGAATTTAGGATTGCAAAGAAAAAAAGTATTTAGGCTATATCCGATGAGCTGTCTCGTTCTAAGTGTTGCTTTGGGAATCAGCGATAAGTAGCGGAGGACTCTGCCCGGCAAGCTACACGTTCGTGATCGCGGTTAGCTCGGCTACGACGGGATCCGCATTATGGATGGAGACTATGATTTCATAACTCTATTTCCGGACTCGCCGCTGGGTTTCAGCGCCATGCTTTTGGTATCGCCTAAAACCGTAGCGTTGTGCATCTCTCTACTCGTCTCTGTATTATAGGATCGTAAACTTCAATGCCAACAGAGTCACATTCTAAAATGCAAAATCGAAAATGCTGCCATCTGCGAATCTATTGTTCGGAAACCCGGTTAAACGACACACTCGTGGCTAGAGTCATCCCCCATGCGCATGACACAGTTTATAGCACGATAGTTGTGCTTGGCATACGTAGGTTAGAATAGCTGTTTTCATAATTAAAAATTTTTATCGTAAAACCGGAATGACATGTGATTATTGTAGCATTTTCGCATATCCATATTCTTTTAAAGTCGAGTAAAATCGTGAATGGATAGTAATATTTTTTCCAGGGGGAAAACAAGCCGGGCATCGCAGTGGGGGTGCAATCATAATAATCTACTAGTGTTTTCGTCAAGTGTTATTTGTTAAACCCAAATTTACCAGTGGGTAATCGAATAGTCAACGTGATTTTGAAGTGGATAGGTTGCTGATAAGAATGGCAACTGGTGAAGCAGGTGTACCCCATTATTCGGGTGAGGAATCTAACTGGAGGAAAGATCTTATTTCTCAACTTCGTGACAGGAATAGATCCCAAACCTACTGCTTCTATGATCTCATAAGTTTACGTGAGTAATAAATAATTTGATGTATCTATGAACAGTTTACATTGCAACAGTGTATAACCAGTTGAAGACTTGTGCAAATCAACTGTTGAACACAAAGAGCTTGAACACAAAGTGTTTTGTTCTGTCAATTTTCTTATTTGTATTCGTTGTATTCAATTAAGATGTGTATGCTATATTGTAATTTGAACTAAATTCAAAGAATTTTTCTAATTTAATATGATTTTATGTTAAAAGATAATCGACTGTTCGAAAGTGCTAATACTTTGCGAGGGGAAAATCTACAATTGTCAATAGCAAATGAGAAATTGAGGTGCGATATTGGAGGAACTGGTGGTGGATCAAGTGGAAATGCTGTTCTAGAAGCACGGTTATTGGCACAGGCTGAAGAATTGGCAACGCTTCATAGAAGAAGAGGAGAACATACACAGCAAATTGTAGATCTGAATAATAAATTGCAAGAAGTGATTAAAGAACTTCACTCAAAAGAAGCCAGGTACGTGACGTATTCATTCTTTATATATTTTTCTTCTAATACAGTTTTGATACTGAATTAACAGGAAACTAAGTAATTATATATATCTTTTATACAGCCTGGCAGAAAGTATCGAAGTCAATGCTGGCTTACGGTCAGACATAGCAAGATACATAAGCAAAGAACGTGAATTAGAAAATGTTAATCAAATGCTCAAAGACGAGCATCAAGCCCTGCAGCTAGCTTTTGCTGCTCTTGAAGAGAAGCTGAGAAAAGCTCAGGTAATATATTAATGTTTAAATTTATGAAAAACATCAATTTTGCATTAAATTTTAATAATCGTGTAGGAAGAAAATCGCCAGCTAGTCGAGCGCTTAATAAAATACAAAGCAAAGGACGCAGAAAAGATGAATGAAGAAAATGACAATTTCTTAAAGTAAGTTTTTGTAATCAGCATTATTTACTTCTTGTTTCCTCGTAATAATTTTGTTCAAGCAGTGTCTAAAAGACAAATCATGCATTTTTATCATTATGATCAATGAAGATAACATACTTGATCTCGTTTTAAATTGTGTTGTGCCACAAAAACTGTAATTTTAGTTTTTTATGCTTACAATTTTCGAAACTGGGAACCATAAATAATATTCGCGTATAGAGGAAGCATTATTTCTATCTAATGCAATTGTATCTGTACCTGGCTATAACAAGTTAAACTAAGTTCAATCTGCGAGCAACCTGGGAAAACGAGCTAGCAAGTTCACAAATAGGCTTTTAGAACTTCACATGCATTTCATTACCAATGAGCATCGATAACAAAGAATACAAATTTATTGATCATATAAACAAAAGTTTAGTAAAATACACTAGCAACTTTCAGTAATTAAAACATAAAATGTAAGTATTTGGAAAGGAAGTTTCAGAGGTAATAATGTGTAATTATTCATTGTTTAGTCAGATTCTGTAATATATCCTTGACAGTTATCCGGTCATTTCACATTTCTCATAAGGATAATATAACCGAACTTACTTTGTGCTTTTATATTTGAGTTATTTATCGTACTTGAATGATATTATTATAATACATTCATGTATCATAACCCTGCTACTTTAATATCTTCACAAGATATTTCTTTTCTCTGCGATTGGAATAGAGTACGATGCATGTAACAGCTTACAAATGCAACGCTTAGTAATTTGCGTTCACAGAATCTTTAGAAGCGTTGCTCTTTTAGAATACACACAGTAACTCATGTGTAAATATACAAATTAGGTAAGAGATTATATACAATACTAGCAATGGTGATTAGACAGACACTTAGAAGTGGTTCTATTTTATGGTGGTTTTGAATATTAATTGCACGACACTTCTTTGGGTAGATATCTCATTTAAAATACTTAATAACCTTTCAAGGCAGATACACATAGTAGCATGACATTTAAAGATACATGAAAATGATTTCTTTGAATTGTAATTGTGAGGTCACACGAGAAACACGAACACAGAGTTGCTGTAGGGCTTGCTACACTAGCCACTTCACACCGCTTGACATTTTCTTTTCAGCGAGAGTTTTACCAGCCCGACAGCCTTTTTGATGAATACCCTATCGAAATTCGGGTAAGTTTGAATAAAAAGAAAGTCAAAAGAAAAGTGACACAGAAAGTTACGCTTTATGCCATATAGCTTTTGGGCTGGTAGCAATTGATAAGTTACTGAAAAATGATTACTGTATGCATTTGTTCTATGTAATACATATCCTCTATTGTTCTTACCGTTATTTTTGTTAGAATTTTTTTGTATGCACTGCAATTCCTGTCATAATTATCATCTATACAAATATATCCATCAGTACAGTATGTCTCAAGGGTTGCTTGAACCGTTACACCTTCGTCTTTCATCTGATTTTGCGAATAAACTGGAGAAGAACATATCCTCAAGCATTAAATTGTGGGGTATTTTCATTTGTTTATTTACTTATTATGATTGCCAAAACGTAAACAGGATTGTACAAATTTATCATGTATCAAGGGCACTTTGTGCAGTTGTAAATTGGCGAGATAATATAGGATTAAATCATACATAAGAGTATGAGAAGCACATCTAGTGAATTTCTAATCAACATTCTTTTTTCGCAGAACTTATATGTAGTCTCTTAAATATGGTAAGCACAGTCAATTCCTGGGAGTATGAGTTATGGATTATCATTATTATTATGATAAAATTGATACAGTCGTAGCTAAGATGACGTAGGCACTAACACACACGAGCTCATCATTATTATTACAAGAAATTAATGGAATTATTAATTAGTTACGCAATTAGCGTGCAAAAGCTTGCCAGGTTAAATCAGCTTGCATGTGAAATACTATAAATCATTCAAAATATGTAACAAAAATAATACATATTTCCTTGGTGTCTATTTTGATAATAATTGTTTTCTAGCGCAGCGAATATCTTACATGGACTGTCAAGGTATTTTTTAATTATTTCTTGTAACTTTGCAGAAAGAGACAAGCCAAAATGCAGAAGGAACTGGAAGATGCTGCACGCGATACACGGCAAATCAGTCCTGATAGGACCAGCTTGAAGGAAGGAATCGTTGGTCTTCCCACATCAGTACCGACCAAAGTCTCCGTAAAATTTGTACGTTAATATCCACACGACTATTGCTCGTAAATCTAGCGTACGATATTATTTATTTAATTATCATTCATTTATCTCATTCAGGATTTTTGGGCCTATTTAAATTGGCAGGGAATTAAAGAAATTTAAGGTTTTCCTACGTGACTTATTTATTATCGACTTACTCTAATATCGAACGGCAGTACCGTTTCCTATCGTTGACTTAATATTACGTTAATTTGTAACATACGATTAAATATTCTAATCTTCTAATGTTTATCAACACGGTTATATCTTTACATATATACATAGAAATATATATATTTATACACGGTAACTATAAATTGATATATTTCCAAATAAATTTATTTAAAAGGCTTTCCTCATTGTCTCTGCATTATGTATTGGTCACGGCGATTTACACATGTCATGAAACGCAGTAGTACAGATCTCGGGGAAGTTGAAAAGGAAGTATAAAATTTCAATGCAGACTGGTTTCTTAGACTTGTATACGTACCAATATCTGTAGTCATACATTTCATTATTACTCAAATATCGTATTTCATGCAATGCGTCATAAAATTTTCTCTATTACAATATATCGTAGCATATAAAAAGCTTGATGTACATTGAAAACAAAAAAGACAGTAAAATAAACCGTTCCAGAGTGCTCACGACGGGGAAGTAAACGCAGTGAAATGGTCTCCCGTGGACAGACTCCTCGCCACGGGTGGCGCTGACAGGAAAGTCAAGCTATGGGATATATCCAAAGGTAAAAGTGGAAAACTTGTCAGCAATTTCCAGTCCTCTAGGCGTAATGGATTAACCCATTACGAGCGATTTACGTATTAATCACTAAAAACTGTACTGACAATTGTGCTTTACCTCTAGAGCTTATCAGAAGTATCCATGGGCGTAGGTAACGCTTGTATATAATATGTAGTATCGTTAAAGAAACACGAGTAAAATTTGTTAACTCCTAGTCAGATATACTAGCCATTTGCTGGCGCTTTAATAAAATATACAGGGTGTCCCACGCAACTGGAACAGGCTGTACCTCCTAAACGGTTGGGAATAGAAGATGATGTTATGAGTGAAAGTTAAATGGCATCAGACGGTGCATAATATGCAACTAATTTTATGCACTTTTGTGTATCGGTGCATTAGAAAAATGCAACTGCACTTTTTTTTTTAATGTGAAAG